TCACCTAATTTAAAGCGTAAAAATTATTCAGTTGAATTTTAATTAACTTTAGAATTGAGAAAAATTACAACTACACTTACCTGTGAAGTAATATATGGTCTCGAAATAACAAGAAGAAATAGAAGAATGTAGACTTCAAGAAGAATTTAAGGTCTTACTAAAAGGAGTTTTAATACCTCTAGAGAATGTATAATCCTTGTATAAAAATCCTGGTTCTTTGCTTCATGAATTTTGTTGCCACTTTTTTTTTATTTTCTAACTACACTTTCTCGAATATCTTTTTCTCTCGTTCCAAATCTCTTGCCACCTAAAATCCATAATGGTTGAAATAAAGAGAAAAGTGCATATAAAAAAAATTTTCCATCATTAAAATAAAAGCGGTTTAAAATGAAGGATTTAAATCAAAAAATTTGTAAAAATACATTTTTGAAAAGAAGATAAATAAATAAAAATATAATAATACATTTTAGTTTCTAATGATAGGAATAAAAATCTGCAAGAAAATATTTTATACCTTTGAAAGAAAAATTTCATTATATATTGTTTTTTTTCTTTTTTAAAAAAGTATTTCAATTTGTATCATTCATTTCTGATGAAACACGTAAAAGTTTTAGATATCCTATAAACTTTATCCAAAGTTTTCACTCATAAAAACTATAAAGAGAAAAATACGTACACACATATATATATAGAAATGTATAAAATGTTTCTCATTCTTTTACTAAATTTCTTCTGAGTTATGATAATATAAAATCTTTATTAATAAAAAAAATCTATGAATGTAACAATTTTTCCTGTGAAATAGAAAATAATGAAAATTAATTAAAGAAGAAGGAAAACTTTGTTTGAAATGAATAAATAAATTCGAAAAAAAGAAGAAAAATAGTAGAGAGAGAGAGAGAGAAAAAAGGTAAAAAAAATTAAGAGAATATAAAAAGTTTAAGAGAAAATTAATGAACAAATTGCATAATAAATCTCGTGTAAATTCAATGAAATTCTAATATATTGCAAATATATATTCTCGCAATCAAAGACGAATACAAGAATCACACAGTTCTTCATGAAAGTTTAATAAAACTTTAATAATTCACGAATTCGAAACTGTAAAGAGAGAAATGTCATAAAAATTTAATGTCCATCTTTACAGAAATACTTTTCCTATTTCTTACACTCAGACAAAACAGAATTGATTTTTTACTTATATCTTTATGTAAATCGTTCGTTAAATTGTTTTCTCATTATTTTCAATAATTCTCCTTTAATTGTTTCTATTAAAATTTGAAGAATTTTTGCCGTACATTATTTTTAACGATGTCAAAATTTATTTAAATACAAAATTTTTTTCTTTATCACTTGTATTATTTATTTCTTTATTATTCTTAGCTAATTCTTTTGATTATTTTTATTTATTATTTTTTTTATTATTTAATATTTTTATTTATTATTTATTTTATTATTTCTCGTCATACTGGTAAATTTTTTATTATATGTATACATGGGTTCACTTTTACGTCAGTCATTTATCGTTAAATTCATTTCATTAACTAAAAATTTGCCACCGACGCATTTTTACGTTATCACTGTTATTTTTCGGCGCCATTCAATTTTTTTTAGAAAAAGATTTATACCACAGTTCATCGAAGCACGCGATCTTGAAATTGTATTATTATTATTATTATTATTATTATTATTTTAAATATCAAACAAAATTCGACTTGATATAATTTTTTTCGCACTTTTTCTGATCAAAGAATATATTTTTTTTAAATAAGATAAAAAAGAAACTAAATCATCTACACCACACGCGACCATTTTTCACAGTTCATTTTATATCAAACATTGTCATTTATTTTATTTAATATTTTATATATGGAAGAAGAAAAAATATTTCAATTGACCAAAAAATTTCCATGCGAGAGATTTTTTTTTAACATTTCTATTTAAAAAGTAAAAATTAAATAATATTGAAATACAATTGTTTTGAAAATATAATACAAACTTTTAATAAATAATTTATTTTGAAAATTACCGTCGTAAATAGTTACCTCTAAGTTCAAATAAAATTTTAATTGAAAATTTAATAAAATTAAAATTAATTATTTTATAAGTGAAATTAAATAAAAATATAATTACATCTGGAGAATGTAATAATAAAATGAAATAGAATTAAAAGGTAATTATTCAGAGATTGAAATAAAGTGAAAATTAAAAGGGAATTAAATTTACTTGGTACATTTTTTCATTGCTTTAAATTAATTTTTCAAAAGGAATAAAATTTGAAAAGAAGTTATACAAAAATTGAAATAAGCTGAAAGTTATATACTTTAACTAATTAACTAAATTAACTAATTAAAATAACTAAATTAAATACGAATTTATATTTGAGGGTGAATAAAAATTCTTTGACATTAATTTATTATTTTATTGGTTCAACTATAAATTCTATGTTAAATACCTACATATATTACGTATGGAGATTGCGTGTGTATTGTATACTAATAACCAACGCCAAATTGTCTCTACTAATTTACGGTTTAGGTAACTGTAACAATGGTTACGTCACTGTCTAAATTAATGAGCTCTCTAAGAAAATTATATCAATTATTAACTCCATTAGTATTACATCTAAGATTGTTAAATATTTACTCAAACATCTCAATTCCTTCAAATCAAAATAGCAAATTTTAAATGAAATTATTGATGAATTCCTTCTTTAACATTTTATTATTTTTTACTTCATTATTTCTTCTATTATTTTATTATTATTAGCATCATTGCTATTATTATTATAAATTTCTTTTTAAAATAAACTAATTATTATTTTTATAAATCATTCAACATTTTCCGAAAATAAATTTTTTTAGATTTTCTTTTTAAAATATAAACGGAAAGAGATGGAACAATATTTCTTGGCAATATTATATTGCACAGGAAGAATGATGGAATATAATTGATGACGTAATCAAAACGTCAAATATAATAACGTTGATAATAAATTCAGCTTATTGGAAATATGAAGGACAGAAATGAAGTAGGAATCACTTATTTGAATGTGGATTTAAAATTTAAGCCGACCAACTTTATTCGAGAATTCAAATATAATATATAATATGTATAATGATAAAATTGAATATAAATTTAAATCAGAAATTTTCTTCTATATTTATTATTAAAAAAAAGAAATAATTTTGCTTTACCGGTATACGAAAAATTGGTAAGAAAATCCTCTTAACCTAAAGACATTATTTTCTTTGTTTCTTAATTAAATAATTATAAAGTTTTTGAATAAAAATTATCATTAATTAAAATTTAGAAAATACTAATTAAATAATATATTCTGCGATAATCAACATTTCCAAAGGAGATTTTTTGTATTAAAAATCTCTTATTTATCAGATTTTATAAATAAAATAGTATACATGTTTTGTGAGTTAAAATTACGCGTCTGTTACATAAAACTTATTAAAATATGTATGATTTTGATTAATATTAAAAACTGTGATTTTAAATATTGAATTTTCTGTTATGATTTGTATTGGTTAAAAGGTATGGTAAAAACCCTTTAAATACTTTCCAAAGGAGACTTTTTTTAGTTGTATAATACTCCCAGACTACTCTGGGAGTTCCTTCTTGAAGCGGCGGCGTCGGTAGAATGAGCGAATTCTCCCGGCGCGTCTGCTTATATACTCGAGGCAACGCAGGAGTGGGGATGCGCGCTCACTATTGGTCGACGGCGGGAACGACTACCGCGGTGCTCGTCAATTATGCGCAGTTGCATTTGAAGGTTCTACAAATTGTGATTTTCATCTTTCGAATGTTTTTTAATAATTGTTTGACAAAAAATTTTTTACGAACACTTTAAATAAATATAAAAATATCCCAGAGGTTATTTTTTTCTTAAAAAAAATTATCAAAATAGCGATAGTTTTTGATCATTTAAACTAGGATTTTAAAGGCTTTTAAAGGAATTTAAATATTAATTTTAACCAAATAATCATAAAGGAAATAAATCTCACGCTGTCCAGTATTAAATCTTCTCCATATGAATATCATTCACTGTTTTGCCGCCAATAGAAAACAAATAAGAAAACTTACCGAGAAGAAAAAATTCCGGAAGAACAGCTAAGACAAGTTCCAAGGCAGGATCGACAGAGAAAAGTCAGACTCTAGTTTCGTAGGTGAATTAATGGTCTTGGCAAAGGATGTTGTTTTACTGGGTTGGCCACGACAAGAGCGCGCCCCATACCAACACAATTCCCCAAGTACGCAATCTCCTTGGTATCTAATGAACTAAAATTGTAATTCACTCCAAGTTCTGTGCACACTTTTTACACCCTACAAAAGAAGTACATTAAAAAAATAAATAATTTGTTAAATAATCAACATACTTTCAAAATTTACAGTTCGCAGCAATTAATTTATTTCTAGAATTTTTTTTTTTGTTTTATAATATAAAATTTATATATATACACATAGGTTTTTTTATTACAATTGGAGAATTAGGGGAGATTTAAAAGATGTAAAAAAAGCCATATAACATTATTTGCCCTAGAATTTATAACATTTCCTCCAGTGGCATGATTTTCATCCTTATCTTTTTTCCACAATATATTTTCTTATTTTCAATTATCGTAAAATGCATCGTTGAATTTTTTTTTTCGTAACGATATTTTATATATACAAGATTTCAAAAATAAGTATAAACGAATTTTTATAAAAATAAAGACAAGAAGAAAATATTCGTTGCTTATTAATAATAAATTTTTTTCCCTCGCAAAAGATAAAAATTGTTCATTTCTGCATTAAAAAAATGAACAAACTATTTACATATCGTATAAAAGAAAAATTACAAAGTTGCAATATTGAAATGAAACTAATATTTTATATCAACATTGAATTTTTATCATTTCAATTCGATGCAATATTTCCTAAAAATAAATTCAAATTAAAACGCTGAAAATCGATAATAAATTTACAACAAGTAAAATATAATTGTCTATTCGCTTTACGGTTTTAAATTTCAATAAAAAGAATTCGTCTTTTTTTATTACATTATATTTTCATTGTCTTCACTTTTTTTTGAATTAAAAAGTCTCTAAACGATTTTTGATTTTCGTCCATTAAGAGTCAAATTTACTCGCACGCTTTATGACTCTTTTTTTTATTTTCACTCTCTTTTATTTCTTTTTTTCCATTAGGTAACTTTTATTTCAATATTCGCTTTGACAAAAAAAAATAATAAGTACACCACAGAATGAAGTAATTTTCAAGTTGGAAATCAAACTTTTAAACATGAGTTTGGCTTAATATGCTGAAGAAAAATCATCAATAAGAGAGTTGCAAACACAAATTCAGTACCACCACCACATAATTTAAAATATCAATGTGGATCAAAAATTTCAGTCGTCTTCAAACATCTCCTGGAACATGAATTATCGATCGTTCCAGGCGAAGCTCTTTGCTAAACACGATCCTCTTCGCCTAAAAGTCGAACCACCTCTGCAAAGAACGGAGAAAATAGAACCAATCGTAGAGGGAAAAATATATATGTTAATCTGCGAATAAATACAGTAAAAAATACTAATGACAATCACTTTAAATTTCCACTCAATCACTTTTCATTAAAGAATCCTTCTTTTTGAAAATAATAAAAATTCTTTTACCGTCAGTCGATAATTGCATGATGGATTTAAAAATTAACCGATTAATATTTAATTTAATATTAATTAGGAAGGTGAGGAACGAACGAAACGGTTGCTTGGTGGCCAAAAGGCTAAATTGCCATTTTGCTAAACCATGCACAGCAAAACTGTTTTACCGACTGAGTGTTTCGAACCTAACCTCTTACTGTGTAAAATTTTAATTTAGCGAAATGGCAATTTAGTCTTTTGGCCACCAAGCGGTTTGACGAAATTATTGGAAAAGTAGTGATCTACATTACCGACTGATGGTAAAAGGTCATTAATGGTCAAAGCCCTTTGTGATGGAGAACAAGATTCAAAAAGCGATAGTCATTTATGCATTTAAATATCAAGATTATAAGGACTGTTTTAAGTAAACTAGTCACGACTGTTGGTAAATTAACAATCTACTTTACCGACTGATGGTAAATATTTACGAATAAAAGACCTTTGCGTAATTGGGGGCAATGCCAAATGGGGACTTCGGCTATCTACCAGCTAGCATTCTCTTACAGATTGTTTACCATCGGTTGACAAAGTGGCAATTTACTTTACCGACTGATGGTAAAAGAATTTTGGGTCAAAATTAGGGATTTGGTAACTGTATTATCGACAATGGCAACTGCGGACATTAGCGACAATCTGACATACGTATTAGTTAGGGAAACGGTTTCCTACGGTTGGTAAGGAAGTGTTCTACGTTACCGACTGTCGATACAGTTGGGTATACAACACGTGATTTGATTTTATTAGAAAACTTAATCTCTTTTTCAATTTTCTAACTAAACTTTGATCTTCTCTTAAAGATCTCTATCTTAAATTGAATTGTAAACATCTGTCGATAACTATCGGTATTACCATCAGTCGGTAAATTTTCACTAAGTTATCTTGCTTTTTCGACTATTATTTTCGTATAAATTTGAGAATTACCGTACTTTTTAATAAAGTTATTCCAATATAAAATAAAATTTAGTAGAAATATTTCACAGGGGATTTTTTTTCCTCTTCCTCAAGTACAATTAGTATTAATTAAAAGTTCTTGAATATCTACTTGAATTATTAAGTCTGGGATTTTTTTTTCTTTGGAGGAAAATTTTTTTTTTTTTTTTCTTTTGTCAAAGGAAGTGAATGGTAATTTGGAAGGAAGGAAATGAATAAAGAAGTAGTTTGAAGAAGAAGAAGTGGTTTAAAATTTTAATTGAGAACTTGCCTGATTTGCCAATGATTGATGCACGGTTTAAGTAAATGGCTGAATCGTTTGCACTGACTTCACTGTTTCCAGCTTGAGTGATATTTCTTGTGACCCCTCTGGAGTTTCCACGGTCCCCACATCGCAATCTAAAACCAATCAGCTAACTTTCAAGACGTGTCACACATCTCAGTGATATTTTTAAAAGTGAACGTTTCTTGAATTTTTTGAACACGCGGAAATAACAGTCAAAAGAGAATAATTAATAAGGGGAAAAAAAGGAATAAAAATTGGTGTGTGAAACTATTGAAATTCCTCTTTGCAAATTTATTTCACTTTTTAAAAACTCCCAGCTTTGTAAAATTTAATTTCAATTACGTCAAAAACTATTTTTATTTCAAGTGCGTTATTGAATCGTTATGCGTTTAATGAAAATATTTTCTATATTAAATATTTCGGTTCTAATTAATATTTGAAATTCTTTTTACAATTCACTTTTAAACAAAAAATGGAATTTCGAATTTGAAATCAAGGGAATTAGGAAAAGAATGAGATAACGTTTTCTTACTGCTAAAATTAAATCAATTAAATCTTGGTGATAAAATTCACATTAAGATTATTTGAAGGAAATATAATTATTTAATTGAAAATTATTTCGATTGGTAGACAATTCTTAATTGATCAAACATGAAATATTCTCTTCATTCTCAAACTATTTTCACTTATTCTCATAGCTAATTTAAGGAGCTATTTAAATTCCGACGGTATTCAATATTTCTCAAATCACTCGATTCGTGTAATCGTGTTGCGTGTCTTGTTTATTTGGAATAGTTCGTGTTACCCGAAATGCATCGATTTAGCAAAGTACTATTGCAATCATCAGGCGATCATTAAAATTTAGAAAATAGAAACTTAGAAACTAAAATATAAATATATAATTAGTATAAACTAAAAAATACATTTTGAGATTACCGACTTTATAGAAAGAGTATTTTCGAAAGTTTATCATTTTTACGTGTCTTCCTGTGGAGTTTATATTTTTTTCGGGAGCTCCTGTTCATAGCGGCGACGTCGCTAGAATGAGCGAATTCTTCCGGCGCGTCTGCTTATATACTCGAGACAACGCGGAAGTAGGGATGCGCGCTCGCTATTGGTCGACGGCGGGAGCGACTCCCGCTGTGCGCGTCAATGATGCGCAGTAGCTTTCCACACTAAATACTATCTATATTTCTATACTATAATTTTGTTTTAATATTTACGAAAATATTTTTTATGTTTTAATATTTTCAATTAATTGTTTTAGCTAAATATTGAAACTTATTTACCAAAATAATTTATCAACCTTCAAGCTAAATATTTTCATCAATACATTTTTATATATAAAATAATAAAAATGTATAGATAAAAATATTTTAACCTGAATACAACATGAAAGAATTTTTTTTAAAGAAAGGAATCGAATTTTTTTAAAAAAAGGAATCGACTTTTTTTAGTGAATAAAGAAGGATTTATCTTAGATTTTTTTGTGAGGTATCGTGCAGTATTTTTGAGGAGAGGAAAAAAAGTGATAGGCAAAGGAATAAGAAAGGGATGTGGGTGCTATTGTGTGAGATGTAAACTTGCCTCCAGCAACTGTAGCAATCAAAGAGACTGAGGAAGGCTTGTCGGAACTTCCGGTTCATGAAGCAATAGGTGATAGGATTGCAGCAACTTGAAATATAAGCCAATAGTTGAACAAGACTAATTCCAGTGCTGCCAACATGAGAGTAGACCAAATCTGGTGCAAACAGATACCACGTATTGATAACGTGTAAAGGCGCCCAGCAGACGAAAAATTCCAGTACAATGGCGAAGAGCATTCTGATTACCTAATTAGTCAACAAATTTAGAATATTATTATTATTATTATTATAACTATTATTATCATTACTATTACTTTTTTTTAATTTAGTTTTTAATTTTGTTTTTAAACTTTGGATGAACTAAATATGGACTAAAAACGAAAATTGGAAAAAAATTCTTTTTTCTTCGAAAAGAAAAGTATTTTAAACGAAGAGAACGAGAGACAAATGAAAGCTTAGATTCTCGTAAAGTATTAATAAATAAAAAAAATTACATTGTTTCGTAATTACTAATAACTAATGAACTTCAGAATTATATAGAGACTCCTTTTTAAATTTAGAATAAGCTATTATAGTTCTCAAGGAAACTTTACTTCATTCAGAATAATGTCAAGCTAAAGGGATCAATACAATGAATATATCAACTAAATTAGACAATTAAAACTTACTTTGAATGAATAATTAGTTTTATTCATTAAAAACAAGAAAAAATAATTTTTTCAATTATATATGTACGACAATTGCACTAATTAAAAAAACAATAGAATATAATGATAATAATACATACAGATAACAATAATAATAACAATAATAATAATAAATTTATAAACAAATAAATAATAATACACGGAGAAAAAAATGCTGTTGAATCAATGACATATGGGTTTGATTCATTGAATAGTGTCATAACGGGCTGCCTAACGTATATGCTGTTGTTTTGAAAGCACCGATTATAATGATTCGATAGTATCACTTTCTTTGAAACAAAAGCATATTTCTCAAATTGACAGCATACTATGTTAATTCGAAGGTGAATCCTTTTGAATCAATAAACAAAATTTTTTAATTTAACAGTATATGCTTTTGAGTCAATGACTATAACTTTTAAATTTAAAAGCATCATTTTTATGATTCAAAAATTTGTACTCTTAATTTTTTTAGTTGTTGCTATCGATTGAATAACACCATACTGTTAATTCAATTCTTTTATGTGGTTAAATATATACCAACGATAAATTGAAAAAAGGGAATTTTTGTTCACATGTTTTTTATATACTATAATTAATTCTCACACCTTTAACACAACACTTTTTATACACATCTTTTTTTCAATTTTTCACACTAACATATACATCTTTATTATTATTTTCATTTTTTCCAACGGCTAAACACACACACACATACACATTCAAACACACTTATCTTTTTTAGTCAGAAAAATAGGCTATTCCCAAGCGGTCACCCATCCGTTTAGTAACCGCGACCAACGACGCTTAACTTCCGTGATAGACGAGAACCGCCGCGCTGCAATGTAATACATCCGCTTCTCAACGTTGGGCACTTACTTTGTGGTTAAATACCGTGCTCGAGATTTTTCGCGTATATAAGGGAATTTATATAGGGAATTTATATTTAACTAGTCATTAATTAATTAAAAGAATTTAAATAATACTTTTTTATATTGGAATCTCAAAAACGACAGGTTTAATAAACATATAAATATATGTGGGTAAGTATTTCAATAAATTTAGTACCTGTCAATGTCTCAAAACATAGTGTTCTTATTTTTATAGCATATGCTATAGGCAGTCCGCAATAGCACCACTCATTGAAACGAAAGCATATGCTTTCGTTTTCAGAGCGCGCTTCTTTAGAGCAAACAATTTTTCATTTGATTTAAATTTAGACGCATTTTCTTCAAATTTATCTATTAGATGCTTCAAATGAATAATGTCAAAGAAGCAAAAAAATAATTCTGTTGCTATATATAGATGAACTATAGAAACAATTTGCACAATATTATTAATTCTACAGTACCGTACTTTTAATTTAAACAGTTTCATTTTTTCATTTTAAGCAATATACTTTTCGATTAATAAATGTGTCATTGAATCAATGACGGGGAATTCAATAGCATGGAGATATTTGATTCAACAGCACTTTTTTTTCAGTGTATAATAAAAAAAATTTTATTATTTTTTATTATTTTTATTTTTTTATTATCATTTTTAGGACCATTTGAAACTTGTTCAGAACAGATGGGAAACTATTTGAGACTTTAAGAGTTGAAACATATTAAAAATTAATTAAAACCGGTTTTTTATGAAAATTGGAAAATAATCTTTTTCCCAATATGAAATTGAAATATTTCGTTTGATATATGTATTATACTTTGTAGAGTGACTGAAAGAGAGAAAAATAAGATTTTGAGTAAAATATTGAAAATAACCTTCTTTTTGGCCTCAATACTTTTCCCCATGTAGTTACTGCGAATGACATGTTGTCGTCCAAAGGTATAAGTGGAATTTTGGCGACTCTCAATAATTCCTCCAGGTTCCTCAGCCTCTCGATAAATGGACGAGCCCCTCTTTCCATTTCCATTGGCAGTGCCACGAGTACGTGGTAATGTTGTAATTGAATTCAAATCGATGCTAGCATTCACATTGACATTAACATCTACGTTTGTCGAATTTCTCGTCGATGTTTTAATTCGTCGAATCTGCCGACGAAAAAATATTCCATTTTTTATATTAAATGAAATTTCAAAAAAAAAAAAAAAAGAAAAGTAATGAAAAAAACGTTTGTTGAATTTTTTGTCGATGTTTTAATTCGTCGAATCTTCCCAAGAAAAAATGTTCAATTTTTTCTATTAAATAAAATGAGAAAAAAAAATTAATGAAAAAAAATATTTTAATAAAAATTGATTAATAAAAAAATATTGTTTTATTATTGGAAATTAAAAGTATGTATTAGTGATAAAATTGAAGTCAATTTAATGTAACAATTAAAATGAAAATTTATACAAAATAGTCGAGAAGAAGAAAATAAAAGTATTTTGCGAAATTTTAGTAGATTATTCAAATTTTTACTGTATACACATAGAAACTACGTAAGCTGAAAATTTACATTGCAATTTGTCTGAAATATGCAGAGTTAAAATTTAAATCTTCATTATAACAAAATATTTATAAATATGAAAGTAAACTTTCAAGAGTCTTTATAATATTACACTGCATATATACATATACAGAAGACAGAGAAATTTATATATATATATATTTTATAACTTGTACTCAACTGAAATGAATAATTTCATATTAATATTCAAAACACACTTTTCTCACCACACTCGTACGAAATGGTCAGCATTAAAATATATTTATGCATATATGTATATAGACTTATATTATATATATAATATTATATGTACAATTCGAAATGTCAACCAAAAGTCAAATATTAAATAATTCACATTTCCGTTATTATCATTCAAATCTCTTTATATATTTGTTCTGTGGATAAAATATCTTTTTTATTCAATTTTATTCCTTAACAAAGGAAAATCAATACAAAAGAAAAAATATATTATAACAAAAAATTTAATTAAAATATGAAGATATCTATTACTCCGAGTCTTCGACTTATGAATCAGTTTCTTCATGTTTTACAATAATTAATTTTTTTATTAATGAAAGACCGAGTTATAAAATCATTATTTTATATTAAAATAATATTTCTACTGTAACTACTTCAAAATTATTATTTAATTTATTAATATTATTTTTATTATTAATTTAATACTATATTATTAATATTATTATTTTCTAGAATTTTTTACTAAATTTCATTTTTAAATCAATTATTTTTAATAATTTTTAAAAAAGTTCTTATAGAATTTTCAAATCCATTTGTTTCAATTTTACGTGAAATTTCGATTATTCGGAAACTTTGCCTATTTATGAAAATTGTAAACGCAATTCTTTTAAAATTTATTCATTTATTTAAAATTAAATTAATTTCGAACTATTTAAATAAAATTAGTCACTAAATAATTTATTAGAAATAATTTTATGATAGTTCTTCAAGAATTTAATTATTTTGTAATTATTTCATTTTATTCGCATAATAATTGTAAATATGAAGCAATGTAAATTTTAATTATACTATATGGTATGAAGTAATAAAAAATATTCAAAGTACAAACTTAGAGAGTAGAGCAAAATAATAATAATAATAATAATATTACAGATATATATAAGCTTTACAACAAGAAGAGGAAACAATATTAAACTGCTTTTTGCAAATTTGTACCTCTAAAGTAGGAAAAGCAAGAAAGCAATTTGAAAGGGATCGGAATTCGAAATACAAGTCGTCAATTTCGATTCTTGTTCCTCCAGCTTTGACATATTCAAATAATGTGAAAATTGGGTCATGAATGTAATATTACAGGATGTAAGAAATATATAATATATCTATTTTTTCTCTGTATTGAGTATAAGAAAATTTATGTACTAAATAATAAAAAGACTATTTTCTCATAAAGTAATATACAACCAATTTTATACTCTCTCTACTATCTTTATCCAATTTTTATCGATATTTTACTTATTCTCTCTCGGTATAGTAAATATATTTACTTGATATACTGTTGTCATTTACCTGTGTATTTTATCGTCTCTAATATCACACTCCCCTTTATTTATATTATGTAACTTTTCTAATAAGCACATCGTAAATGGAACCAAGTTTTTTAATGCTTAAACTTTATTTTACATCCCTTATAGTAAACGCACATTATATTAGTCAATAATATCGGAAAACGGTAAATAATTCTCTTATTTCTAATTTTTATGAAACAATTTTTACTTTTTAAAAAAAAAATATTTTTTACTTTTTTAACTTATTTTTTAATTCAAAATATCTTTTTATTTACTATTTTATTTACTATGTATTTCTATTTATTTACTATTTGTTTACCATATATTTACTACTTATTTACTATTTGCTTACTATTTATTTATTTGTATTTGTTATAGTCATTCTTCTGTATTAATTTAATTTTTATACTGCAGTAATTTTTCCAAAGTTCTTAATTTTTCTTTTTAGTAAAATTATTCATTTTCTAATTTTTTGGAAATTGGATAGCATTAATTTGTCATTTTTATTATTTAGTTAATAACAATTAAAGAGTATACTAAAATATAAATTTCAGATAATTGAAAAAAATTCGACTCTGCCGGGAATCGAAGCGAGGACGAGTCACTTGACGGTCAAGTGCTTTTCCAACTGAGCTACGGAGGTCGTTCACAATAGAAGACAATTTTATCACTTTACGACGTCTTGTAAGTTTATATTTCAGTTTATTTTTCACTTGGAAAATACTTTTCTTTTTTTAAACTTATTTTTAATTAAAATATAAATGAATACATAAATAAAAATAAATAAAGACATAAATAAAAAAGAAAAAAAGTTGGAGCAAAAAAAATTTTTTTTTTAAATAAATACGATAATAATTACCTTGGCAGACATTGTACGGCGATTTGAGCTGATTCGACTGGCTCTCGAGTGTTTTGTGGAAGACATTGAATTTGAAGGACCGCCCATTAAATCGTCACATCGCGAATTAAACATTGTTGTTCTCTCCATTATTCCCGAATGCTCACGATCCATCGATCTCTCGCGACTTATTCTGCTTGGAAATTCCCGTAATTTTCCAAGGCACACAGAACTCTGACGAATTTCACGTTTAAGGCCCCTCCATAATTTACTAGCTATTAAATAATACGCTAAACTCATGACAATTAATGGCACAAGAAGTAAAATACCGTCCAAAAAAATATTATACGCCCTCTCAGTGACCACATTCGACCAGTCCTCCCGACACTTGTGTCTACCTGCAACACAAAAACGAAAACAAAAAAAAATTTTAATATTGTAAAAATTATATTTTTTTTTGTATTTAATGCTAACTCGAGATATGTAAAAAAGTAGACTCACCTCCCCTGATACTTTTGAGCTTTGATACAACGAAAATTGGACCACTCCAGACGAGACTTATGGCCCAAACGACAACAATCATTTTATAAGCGTGACATTGTGTCTGCCATCTTCTCGATTTAAGAGGACGACATATGGCGTAATATCTCTCCAAAGATATGGCAACGAGTGTCCACACTCCCACGGAAACTGAAACAGCTGAGATGCAAAAATTATTACTTTTTTTGTTGCCCATATTTTTACGTATTTTTACGATTTCTGTATTTCGACGGAATAGCCAAAGTTTTGAAAGATAAGAAATTTTTTTTTTAAAATTAAATAAAAATATATTTTTTAGAAATTGAACTATATTTTAATTTAAAAAAATTTATGCAATTATTGTTAAAATAATAATAATATAATATAATATAACCATTTCAAACTAATTCATAACCATATAGACAGGTTTAGAACCAGTTCAAACTAGTTTTATACCAATTCAACTAATTTATAACTAATGTAACAAAATTTGAACCATTTAAAGTATTTAAACTATTAAAAACAATTTCAACAAGTTTAGAACCGCTTCAAACTAGTTCAGAACCATTTAAACTAGTTTTATCTGATTCAAACTATGACTTTAAACAAAATATGAATAAATTTGAACAATTTTACATTTTCTAATCATTGTAATTTACAATTTACATTAAATACTTATTTCACGGAAAATATTTATGCAATTATTGTTAGTAATAATAATTAATTTCAAAAACATATTTTCAAATGAAATAATAAGAATACTATTTTAATCAAATATTTTTTCAAATGACAGTTTTTTTGGGATATTTTATATGAAATATTTAAATTAAATAAATATTTAAACGTATTTAAATTAAAATTTCTAAGACCGATAATAATGAAATCCGAAAATACGTAAATAATAATTTATTAAAAAATGTAATAAAATAAGGAAATAAATTATATTATATAATTAATAAATGTTAAAAAAATGTTTCTTTACAAAAAGAAGTTTTTAAATATTTTTAAAAAAGCTTAAAGAATAATATTTCATTTCTTCAAATATTAGCATAAGAATAAGTCTATTGCTTTGTTTTGTTTGGTTGAAAAAAAGGGTGGGGGGAAAGAGTGTGGTTTGGCAAAATTTCCCTTCTACTCGTTTTTATCTTAACATTATTGATACTTTTGCATTACAACGGAGCGTTGTGGATTATGAAAGAAAACAAGAATTTAATAAAAGTACGAAATTCAAGGGGATCTTCGTTTTTTAATCAGAGATCCCCCCTCCCCATATTTTCCCTTATATATGTATATGTATACACAGTATATACATATAACTAATGCACAATTTATCTTCAAAATTGCAAAATTTCAAGCGTTATGAAAATTTAAATAACAATTTCCCCTCTCTCATAATATGTGCGTGAGTATAATTTTCCAATAGCCGGAAATTAATTATCAATAATTGAATGTACAATTAGATTTCTCGGCTTCCAAGGACCATTCAATAAATTAAACATGTGGGTGATTTTGTCAATAATCATAATTAGCAAAGGACATATCACGGATTGATATAGTAACTTCAATTGTTTTGTAATTTCACAAAATAAAATTCTTTTCTCGCTCTCTCTAAATTAATACTCTAATTTATTCATTTCAAGGACAATGTTAATTAAAATTATTATAATACAAGAATTTTAATCAGTAAAGAATACAACCGTTAATAATTTCAGTTTCGTAAATTTTGCATTTTTCACATTAATATTCATTTGAAAAATATTAATATTTAATTGAATTATTAAATTTCTATCAAAATATTTTTTCGTCTTTTAATTTTTATTTCAATTTCAAATTAGATAATGAAAAATTAAATTTTAATTTCTATGTATTTTTTATTTTATTTTTCTTTTATTTATTTATTTTGTCTTATTTTATTTATAAAAACAAGTGGAAAATTAGAATTGTTGAAAAATATTTTTTTGTAAAAACTCATTTTTCACGTTCATAATTTTTTTTTTATTTATTCGAGTCATTTAGTTTTCTTTCTTTTTTCCAGCGGGGTAACTAATGTTTTCCACAATTTGGAGGAACATTAATACTTTCCCGTTATTTGGCTAATTAATTTTTTTTTCATTTTGACAAATAATTAATGTTCGCCCATAAAAGCGTCGCAAAATGTATATCCAACGCAAAGAAAATTTATTACTTTATTCAAATGAATTGTATAAAATTTTCTCCACTAAATTTTAAAATCAATTCACGAGAAAGGCATACATAGTTTACTTTAGTTTTTTTTCTAAGAAAATTTGATTACATTTACATAGTAAACATTTTTTGGCTTAAATTAATATTTAAATACCAATATATTAAAAATATTTATTTTTTTTAAATATTTAAAAATATTTTTTTTAAACATTGAAAAACATATTTTTTTAAATATTTAAAAAAATCTTATTTTCTTACTACTAATATAAATATTAAAATTATTTCTCTAAATCGTGAAGGAAAGAAATTTATCTTAAGCAAACAAAAAAAGGAAAAATTTTGTACGATATGTTAATTATTTATCATTTTATATTTACAATGTTTATGGAAAGAAAAAATTTTTTCCCCATCCAAGAAGAGAAAATGTTTGGAATCAAAAAATCCTTCGTAAAACTCGATAAAGTTTATTTTTGAGAAAATATTTACTCACATCAAATGTTTATTTAGAAAGGAAGCAAAAAAAAAAAAAAAATGAACACTTCCCGACAGCAAAAAAGCTTGTAACATTTTGACAAACGTCGGGAATAAACTTTGACGTTTACCGTACGTAGTACACGTTATATATATTTATTATTTTAATCCTTTCTACTCATATTTCACTTTTTAACTTTACATTAAATTTTATTTTAAAATTAGAGCACATCGATTTTTCAGTTACTTTCAAAATTTGTTTAAAAAAATATATACGTTATGAAATTGAATTATTTATTTTCATGTAATTTCTACTACTGTAATTTACTACTCTAATTTACTTTTACTTAATAGATTTGAACTAGTTTTTAAAGGTTTAAACCTGTTTTAGGAGCAATTTACACATACTTGATACAATATTAAAATTTTTTCAAATTAATAAAGAAATTATATTCGGAACAATGAAAACTAGTTTTAACAACTTTACAACAGTTTTCAATAACTTCTAACTAGTTTTAAACCAATTTTGTAGTTGAAAATACATCAAAACTGGTTTAAAATCGAATCAAAGTAGTTTAGAACCATTTAAACAAGTTTAAAACTGTTTTTAACTAGTTGTAAACCAACTCAACTATTTTATATCAATTCAATAACATTTTAAACATTTAAACCATCCAAGTAATTAAAAACCAATTAAACAATTTTAGAATTATTTTAAACTAGTTCAGAACCATTTCAAACTAGTTCAAAAGTATTTAAACAAGTTTAGAACCATTTCAAACTGGTTCATAACGTAAATTTTAACCATTCAAAACATTTGAACCATTTGAAACCTTTTAAACAACTCTAAAACTGTTTCAAACTAGTTCATAACCATATAGACATGTTTAGAACCAGTTCAAACTAGTTTTAAACCATCTAAACTATTTTATAACTAATGCAACAACATTTTAAAATTTAAAGCATTTAAACTAGCTAAACTATTAAAAAATATTTTATAATCATGATCAGTAATTTTAAATTTAGTCAACTAAATTTGAATTGAATCAATCCAAACTTATTTGAAATTGTCTTAAACTAATTTTCCCCTGAATCAAATTATTTTGGAACCATTTTAAACTAGTTTTAATCTAATTATATTGAATTTTTATTAATCCAAACTTGTTTGAAATCGTTTTGTACTAATTTTCCCTAGAGCTAAACTAGTTTTCAACCATTTTAAACTTGTTTTAAATTAATTAGGTTTGAATTAATTCAAAACTAGTTTGAAATGGTTAAAAATAATTTTTCTCAGAATAAAACTAGTTTTGAACCATTTTGAACTAGTATTAAACTAATTCAATTGGCATTCAACCAAAATAAACTTGTTTTTAAGTAAATCTTAAATCATAAATTCTTTTATTCTAGAAAAAAATGTAATGTAAAATTTGAATAAATTGTGGTAAAAATTTTTTATATAGTGAAAAATTCCAATGTAAAATGAGGATCAATCTCGCGATATAATATTGATTTTGAGCGAGTCGATTAAATGAGTAGTGAGCTCACCCCCTGGGTGGAAGGGGGTGGGGGGAATCTAAAGCATTATAAATCGTTTGTAAATGGAGTTTTCTGTCACGTTGAATTTATGCCAGGGTGAGAATAAAATAATTAAGTCTCTTGAAAAGAATTCAAGTTGTTTACAAGTTTATATATATTGTGTAAAATAGAGTTTATATGTATACAGCGAAAGTATTTATTTTTCTCTAGAATGAAATTTTTGTTACTTAAAGTTTGTTTCTGTCTCTTTCGCTCGCTCCTTCTATCTTTTTCGCCCTTCTCTCTCACTCTCTCTCTTTACTCTCAACCTCACTCACTCACTCTCTTTTTCTCACCCTTGATTTGCCCTCAAGTTTTTCTTCTTACTCACAATGTTCTCGTCTTCGTAAATAAACGAACACACCAAAGTCGATTTAATCTAATACCTACGTACAGGAACTCTTAGACAAGAAATCGATTCTCCGCTTCTCGATTTACCTTGGCTTTTGAAAATGCTATGCAAAAGGTCGCATCTTGACTTCAAAGCAATTGAACAGAAAATAAATTGAAAACAATTCTTTTGTTTTTATTATATTAATATCATTACTATTCTTATTATTCTTTTTCTGCTTGAGAAAAATTTTTTATGAAAATTAAATTTTATTTAATATTATTATTAAATGAGAGATATTACTATTATAAAAGAGAAACTGCAGATAGAAAATAAGAAATATGTACCGATTTATATAATTCTAAATCAAAAATAATAAAATTATATAATCAAATTAACATTTTGTTTCTGTTTCGTAATTAATATTTATTTGATGACAACGTCATTGAAATTTTTCTCTTTGTAAAAATATTACGAGCAAATTGCTTTGAATGTACTTCAACTTCAATGGAACAAATTTCAACAAAATGAACAAATAAATATTGGAATTTTTTTTTAATTCATACTCGTTTTCATCAGATTCAAACTCATTGAAACCAAATTGAACTGGTTTAGAACC